CTGTTGAGTCCGATGAAAGGATGGGCCGATATGCAGGACAAGAGAATTGCCAAATGAAAATTTATACAAAAAGAGATGATTCGATCTCTTTAAGAAAAAAATAGTATTAAAAAATTAAATTATTTATTTAAAAGTGAATAGCTTGTAACTTTTAAAATATGATAATAGAAGTGAAATAATCCACATAATTCTATAATAAGATAAAAATAATAAATTAACATTCTTATCAAATTAACAATCAAAAATCTCATAAAAAGAAAATTCAATATACTTTTTTATTACTTGAAAAGATCAGAAAGCTATTCAAAGATGATAATATATTGAATTAGAATTGCTATTGCTAAAGATAAGAAAACTATAAAATCTTGAAATAAGACTAAAGATTAGAAAAATATTGACAAGAGTGAAGAAGGCTTCATTCTTTCCTCCATTTATACTATCTAATTAGAAGCTATAAGGTGATGTTTTATAGGACCTCTAACATGTGTTGACTTTGTAAAATACATTTTTTTAATTTGCAACAAAATTTTTCCATATATATGTCACATGTTTAGCTTGTTTGACAAGCTACGAAGACATGTGATATGTGATTAACTTATTGATTAGATTTGTAATCTACCAATCAACTAAAAATATGTATAAAGTCAAAATCACATATATAAAGCTTCTAAAAAGCTTCTCTAAAAGATATTATGAAATTAATCTACTTTTACTTACTTCTACCTAATCATATAAATAATTAATAGAATATATATATATATATATATATATATATATCCATGACTCTTCTTCAACTATTATCTATTTCAAAATAATGATGGTCTTTTGTTTCTATAAATTTTATCACGATATCATATAGTAACATGATTATATAGTGAAAATAAAAAAAAAATAGATGTTTTTATAAAAGAACCTAGTAAAAAGATATAAATGAAAAAAAATGATAAATTATAGAAAGATAATAATTTTTTTTTTAATATTTTTTTTATAGAAAGAACTTTTATTTACTTTGTAGAGGCAATAATGAGCTAAATCAAAGTAAATGAGATAAAAAATTGATATAGATATGTTTTAAAGAAAGTTAATAATAGATTAAAGCAAAACTTATCTCAAATTATTAAAAATTAATATCTAAAGAAGATTAGTTATCAAATTAGATTAAAATTAAATCCCAAGATACAAAATCATACACCTATGGCAATTCCAAATTTCTTTTGCGTATTAGAGAGTATAATTTTGAAGAAGACTTTATAGAATTTTTTAGAGATTTAATTTTGAAAAATTTGAGTTTTTAATGAATTTATAAGAGCTTTTTAATATTATGGTTACTTTGGATGATTTTTAATTTTATAAAATAAAATAGGATTTATAAATTAGGCAATTTTATGAGTTTTATATTAGATTTATAAATTAAATTTTGTAGAATTATGAATATAGTTGTATTGAACATATGTTGTGAATTTGAGCTTAATCAAATCGTTGAATTAGAGGTTATTGAAGTTCAAGTGGATTAGAATCTTGAAAATTGAATTTTTAGGTCTAATAAGATTATCTAAGATTTGCAACAATTTGTTAGTTGGATTGAGGTGATTTTTATTGGATCTAATAAATGATTTGATTCTAGCACTTATGTAAAATTTGATAGCAAGTTTATAATTTAATTAGGAGTAATTATTGCTCGAATATTAATATTAAACTCAAAGATGGAGGCCCACATATACTCAAGTGGATTATGACATTTTTCTCTCATTTCATAAGTTTAATTTTTTAAAAAATTTATTGTACGTATTATTAACTAAAAAATTAAAAAGTTTGTAAAATTTTAAGCAAGATCAATAGTTTAAGCAATAGATTCTTATAGATTTCTTTAAATTATCTTTTAGATTTTTTCAAGGATTATTTTTTTATTTTTTTTTGTAAAACAATTTTAAGATTTTTTTAGGATTTCATGAGGATTTTTTTAAGGTTCTTATAGATTCTTTTTAGGTTTATTTAGGATTTCTTTAAATATTATTATTTTTATTATTTTTATTATTTTAATTTTTTTTAGTTTTTTTAGTTTTTTTAGGATTTCTTTATTATTTCTTTATAATTTTTTTAGAAGTTCTTTAAAATTTCTTTATGTTTCTTTTATAATTTATTTTAAAATTTAATTAGGTTTAATTAATATTTTATTATAATTTATAATTTATAATTTTTAATTATAATTCATAAATTATTTTATTAGAATTATTAAGACTTATTATTACAAATTTCTTTTATCTTCTACAACAAAAAGTCCGGTGCCTTTTTAAGCAAGTCTTTATGTAATATGACAATGAAACTTCTACTTTTAGGTTCATATGATTCTATATCTGTGATAATAAATCATTTTACGAAGATGACATATTTTGTACTATATACAAAATCTATCATTGGTAAAGAAATAGCTAAGCTTTTTTTCAACAACATCTATTATTATTATAGATTGTCTAAGGATATTATATTGAATAGAGGTACTCAATTTCTATCAAGATTTTGGAAAATCCTTTTTAAGATTCTAAAGGTGGATATAAAGATTTTTTTAGCTTTTTATCTTCAAAGTAATAAATAGTTGGAATGCATAAACTAAGTTTTAGAGCAGTATTTAAAATGAACCATCAACTACTAATAAGATGATTGGATAACTCTTTTATCATTGGTAATTTTTTATTATAATAATATAATTCATTGTTTTAAGCAAAAAATATCTTGATTTGTTAATTATGGTTATCATCTATGACTTGATACTTTTTATTTTTTAAAGATTAATAATCCTACAGTAGAAGATTTGGCAAATTATTTATTTGAGCTACATGCAATATTAAAGGTGCATTTAAAAGAAGATAAAGAACGACAAAATATCAATGTAGATGCCTATCACAAGAAGTAATTTTAATTCCATATTGGTGACAAGATATGGTTACTTCATTATAATATTAAGACTAACCTTCTTTGCGATAAGTTGGATTATTATAGGCTTAGACTATTTCATATTTGTGAATAAGTCAATCTTGTTGCTTATTGATTATATCTATTGAAGTCTATGCATAACTTAGTCAACAAGTTAACCATGAATCATACATATTAATAGCTTATAGAACAAGCTAACTATGTGGCACATATATAAAAAACTTGCCTTGCAAGTTAAGATATATATCTTGCAAAGTTAACAAGTGTTGGAGGTCCTAAAGAACATTGGCACATAGCTCTTAATTAGATAGTATATAGGGAGGCAAGAGTGAAGTCTTCTTCATTCTTGTCAATATCTTTTTAGTCCTTAGTCTTGTTTCAAGACTTTATAATCTTTTTATCTTTGAGAACAACCATTCTAGTTTAATATATTACTACCCTTGAGTGATTTTCTAATCTTTTCAAGATGCACAAAAGTATATTAAATTTTCTTTCTTTGAGATTTATGTCCTTAACAAATTGTTCTATTTTTTTAATAAACTTGATTATTTAAATTTTAAAACATAAATTATTTTATGCTTAATAAATAAATTGATATAATATTTTGTAATTCTAAAGCTACATTGGTTAGATTATTGTAATTATTATATTAAGTTCAATTATTTCTTTTCATCTAATTTTTCTATTAATTACTTTATAGCTAATAATGTTTTTTTTTTTTTTTTTTTTTTTTTTTTTTTTTGTCTCTAAATTTTGTGTATTATAACTTAAAAGTATACAATTAAATTTTTATTAAAATTTAATTTAAAAAAATTCAATGATCATTACAATTTGGATTTAGAATATAATTTTTAAATCAATCCAAGTAAAGAGTGGTCTAATTCTTTAACAATTTAAACCATTAAACTTTAAAAGAATAATTTTTAGTGTAATGTTCTTATTTTTAACTTTAATTTCATCTTTTAATTGAATCTAATTTGGTAAAGATTACAATTATGATAAAAACATATTCATCATAATAAAATATTGTTAAATTTTAATTCAAATAATTAAGCCATTTATTTTTATTTATTTTAGTAAAATATTTTTTAATTTTAATTTTTTATATCAATAGATAAAAATAAAAAACTATCTAAATAAAGTTAAATAATCAAATAATCAAATAATTAAAGTAAATTATTAAGTAAAAAATTAAACAAGTTAATTTTTTAAATAAATTTTAATAATTAAATATTTATATCTATATTATTTAAGTATAAAAATATCAATATTAAAATATAAATAATTTTTTATATAAATACTTAATTAAAAAATATTAATTTAGAAATAGCTAGATTAATCTATAAAATAACTTATATAATTAAAAGATATAATATGAATTTAATTTAAATTTAAATAAATTTTTTTTATATATAAAAAATATTTAAAGTCATATAAAATTATTTTAAATAAATTAATTATAAAATTAATTAAATTTTAAAAAATTATTTTAAAATTTTAAAACTTAAAAGTTTAGGATTTTGAAATTTTAAATTTAACATTTAAGATTTAAAATTTAGATCAAATTAAGTTGAGTCTAAGCCATTCCAACTTAATAAATATTATCTTATAATAAAAAAAAATTCTATAATAATATTAAATCTTTTATTATAAATTTTTAAAAAAGATTATATGTACATGAGAATAGAATCAATACAAAAAGTTTGATTAATCTATTATAAGAAGAAAATAGATATCTTATATTTTTAAATTTATTTTAAGCATAAAATTGAAAAAGAGATGTATCATTTGTATGACATGGGCATTTTACATTATGATTTAAATATTAAAAAAATTTTGGTTAAAATTATAGAAAAAAAAATTAAAAATAAGGTTGTTTAGTATGCCACCATATAAGTAATTAAAGACCTTACAAAAATATGTTTAGATTTTATATTAAAAAATGTTTGTTTATTGAATCAAATCTTTTCTAATTTAAATACCTTCTAACTTTGGTGCTTAATTTAGATGGAATTTTGACCAATGTAAATATGAAAGTTAGCAAGAGAAATATGATATATACATATATTATCCAAATAAATAGAAGCAAGTAGAAGTAGGTAGGACATGTTAGGTACATAATGTCTTCCTTTAAAAAACTTAAAACAAGTTTTTTAGACGTCCATTAGATCTTTTTATTCTTGCAGATATGCCTTGTTGCTATTGAAACTTGTCATACGATTTCTTTCAATTTTTAAGCAGACACGCTTTGAGAAACCAGTGACATGCAGCCATGACATGTTTCTGAACGAGGAATCACTTCCACCCCAGGGACCCCTCGGCTCCAAAGGTTGTGCATGTGATTAAAACAACGCCGTAAAGTTTCCCACATGGTCCAAGTTTAGCATCTACGTCACACCGACCGACGCCAATAGGCCACAGCGCTACAAAGCAGAGCACTATACATGCAATGCAGAAGCATATAGAAACTGCTGGAGGGGCTTACAGTCGCACTGCCGAGCAATACGCAAACACTGCAGAAGTATATAGAAGTTCGCTTTTACAGCAGAAACACGTATATGAATCGTAGTTCGGCCCTCTTGTAGAAAACGTATTGACGCACAGGCGGAGATTCTGAGGCTAAGACTGCGCATCAAGATGCCACCCATCGTCGAGGTTTGCCCGACTTTCTCATGGCAGCAGATCACCTCCTGGATCGTGGTGCAAGCCCTGCAGTCCTGCTACAGGCCCCTCAATTGGCTGGGTTCCATCGTCGAATGGACCATCAACTTCTTTCTCCTCAACGGCGGGCTCTTCCGTCTGCTCTTCAAACTGTTCACCTTCCAATGGGGTCAGTACACTTCTGAACGCGTCGATGATCAACACCTCCCGTGTTTTTCATGGAGGTGCGGCTTTGTGACTTGGTTGCAAGTCGAACCGTCAGTTGGGTAACATAAAGATTATTTGTGATGACTTGCAGGTCGCATCATATTACCCGATCCGACCGCGGACAACTTCTTGAGCTGCGTGGGGGCGCTGGATCCCCGTTGCGACTTGTACGTGGACACGTCGAGACCGGGCAAGGCTTCCAGCACTCGAGCAGACGGAGTAGTTTTCCCAGATGAGAACGTTGGCTCGCGATCCACCGCGGATGTATGCGTCATGGCGGCAAAGCTGGCATACGAGAATCCAGCTGTTGTCAAGCGAGTGGTAAAAGACATCTGGAAGATGAATTTCGTCAAGTTTTACGAATGCTGGAACGGTGAGCACAATCTTGCTTGTGCTCCAGGTTCGACCCGAACGTTCTCAGTGGATACGACTGACGTCTGATTGATGCCATGTCGTGTGGTTTTGCTTGCAGAGCACCAGCAGATGGACAATACGCAGGCATTCATCTTCACCGACAAGCCCAAAGACGCGAACGCCGTCGTGGTGGCCTTCCGCGGTACGGAAGCATTCAATGCGTACGACTGGAGCACCGATCTGGACTTCACTTGGGTGAAACTGGATCGCCTGGGCGGCGTCCACCTGGGGTTCCTCGAAGCGGTAGGGCTCGCCAGTCGCAAACATCGCGATACGATTGAGAGGCTGAACACGAATGCAATTGCATCAAGCGAAGCGACCAAAGCGCAAGAGCAAGCCGAAGCAACTGCTACTCGTACCCCCGTCACCCCGCATCGCCGATCCAAAGAGGAAATCGAAAAAGCCCCCTCAACTTCCGGCCTCGCCCAAGGCATCATTGACGATCCTGCCAAGGAGCTCGCGTACGACGCCATTACGAAACGGGTGGGGCTTATCCTCAAGGAAAATCCCAGGGCCAAGCTCTCCATCACGGGACACTCTCTGGGAGGCGCACTCGCCGCCCTCTACGCCACGATGCTCCACTACACCGGCCAGACCGAGATTGCCTCCAAGATCGGAGCCGTCTACACCTTCGGCCAGCCTCGTGTCGGCGACCAGGACTTCGTCAACTACGCGAACTCCAAGCTCAAGGGCAAATTCTTCCGCGTCGTCTACTGCAACGATGTGATCCCTCGAGTCCCGTTCGACGACCACGTCATGGGTTTCAAGCACATCGGCGACTGTAACTATTTCAACAGCGTGTACAAGGGAATCATTGTTAAGGAAGAACCCAACCGGAACTACAGCATCCTGTGGACAATATTTGTGCACCTGAACGCAGTGTGGGAGATTGTCCAAGGCTTGTTCTTGATCACTCTCCTGTACGGCAATCAGTTCTCGGAGTCGACGGTGTGCCTGCTGTTCCGCATTCTGGGATTGGCGATTCCGGGATTCGCCGCGCACAGTCCATGCAATTATGTGAATTCGGTGCGTTTAGGGCCGCTTCCGGTCAGAGAGCGCATCCTAGGTGACGTTGCTGACATTTCGCATGAGATTGCCTTGATGGAAGACAACGTGAAGGACATCCTGTGCTGCATTTTGGTGGCGTTTTTCGGGAATCAGATTTGCGATTCCGGTCCAAAGTGCCTGTTTCAAGCCCGAAACTGCATGCCTCCTATGAAGTTTGGAGCAAAAGAGAACCTGTAATCGAAGAGGTTATCTGTGTGTTTGTGTGTGTGTACATAAATAAATATATATAAATACCCTTGTATTATTGATAATAACAAATCTACTCCTCACTTTTGTCATAATATCAAAACTTCTCCTAAACTTGATAAACTATTACAATTGATCTTTTTTAAGTGAAAATAGACCCGACCTTCATGACTTGTGCCCTCGGCCGCATTATTTGGCTACTGCTCGGCCATTTTTAGCAAATGAATGAAATCACGAACAATTGATAACCACTGGTTTTCTAAAATACAATGGCCTTTTCACATTTTGTAACATCAAGTCGATGCTGGTTGACTTGATGCAAGGTAGATTAATCTTGTAGCCTCTATTGTCCATGGAATTTTGTATGATTCTTACATCATGATATTGTCATACCTATTGCAAAGCTGTACGTGGATTTGAGTTCAGGTAAGAGGTCCCATCAAGAGATGAACAGTTTTGTGGGCTTTGCAGTGCCATCCACGAGTGAAGGGAATAAGTAGATTTTCTTTTCACAAATCCGTGGACAATACACCGATGCTAACACCCACCACATTGAAGCACCAAGGAACGAAACTCATCGCAAACTCAACAAGTTATATTTTCAAAGTCTTCAATTGATATTTTTTAGAAGCAAGTGAACTTGAGAGTTTTTGATAGAAAGAATATATTACCTACATTAAAAATTCAGTGTACACTGTTATTATTCTATTGAGGGAGGTGCGACCGTTTAGGTCTCGCATATTTGACTAGTTGCGACGTTTCACTTAGTTTGTTCGTTATGTTTGGTTAGTCACTGTTATTGTTTCCAACACGGCCGCTTAAGCAAAGCATCACGAACGGGGGGTTTCTCCTCCAAGCAGGCCAAGCATGGGTAAATGCTGGGCAAGCTTCGGTCCAGTGAGGGACTTCGTGAAAATGTCCGCATGCATATTTTCTGTTGGGCAGTAGGTAAATTCGGCTTTGTGTTGAGCCATAAGTTGGCGTATGAAATGGTGGCGGATAGAAATGTGCTTTGTGCGGGAGTGAAAACGAGTGGTTGTGACCAATGCTAACGCTGATTGGTTGTCGCAGTATACACGGGTCGGCGTTTTTAGGGTGTCGGTGCAGTGAAGGTCGTGGAGGAGTTGCCGCAACCATACAAGTTCGGACGCGGCTGTGGCCATGGCGACACTCAGCCTCGGTGCTGGATAGGGCTGTCGTCTTTTGGCGCGCGGAGCTCCAACTGATGGCGCCTGTTGACAGAAGAAAAACGTAGCCGGATGTCGAGCGGCGTTGATCCACTTCGCCTGCCCAGTCGGCATCGCTGAAGCCGTAGAGAGGGCCCGGCACAGTAGAAGTGCGGCGGTACTCCAGGTAGTGGTCGATAGTGCCGCGGAGGTACCGAAACACATGTTTACATGCACGTATATGGGCATCGCCCGGGTTGTGCATATATTGAGCAAGAACGCTGACCGTGAACGAGAGATCCGGGCGAGTGCACAAGCTGGCCCAGTTTAGCGACCCTACAGCATTCGCATAGGGGAAGGCAGCAATAAGGGCAGTTTCGGCAGAGGAGGACGGACAGTCGGCCGCTGAAAGATGAGTCCCAGGGGCCAGCGGGGTCGACACAGGTTTGGAGGCGAGGAAACCGAATTCTGCAAGCTTCTGTGAGATGTACAGAGCTTGTGTGATTCGGAACCATCCGTGATCAAGATTTCGAGTGACCTGTAAACTGAGCAGGTGATGTACTTCGCCGAGATCGGAGAGTAAGAAGCGAGAGTTGAGTTGTCGCTTGATCGAATGGAGCAAGGGGAGGGAGTTTGCCGCGATGAGAGTGTCATCGACGTAGAGGGTGAGGACCGCGAAGTCAGAGCGGTTCTGTAACACATAGACATTCCCATCCGCAGCAGAATTTGTGAAACCGAGGGTAAGTAAAATGTTGTTTATGAACGTAAACCATTCTCGGGGAGACTGTTTCAACCCGTAGAGGGTCTTGAGTAAGCGGCAGACCATGCCGGGGCGGGGGGAAGTCACCCCCTCCGGCACCCGCATGTATATTTCCTCGGAGAGAACGCCATTTAAGAAGGCTGTCTTCACGTCCATCTGACGGACATGGAGGTTCAGCTGGGCGGCAAGGGCGAGAATCAGTCGTATTGACTGAATTCTCACCACCGGGGAGAACGTCTCGTGGTAGTCCAACCCGGGAATTTGGTTAAAACCCCGGGCTACGAGACGGGCCTTGTAGCGGTCAATTTGGCCGTGGCTGTTTAATTTGAGCTTGAAAATCCACTTACAGGTGATGGGTTTTCAATGTGCAGGGAGAGTCGAAAATATCCACGTGCCGTTCATCGCGTGGGAGTCTAGTTCTTCAGCTATGGCAGATTTCCAATGGTGACTGTCGGAAGACGTCATGGCTTGCGTGTAGGTCGTTGGCTCCATGGGAACCGCGGCAAGGGTTAGAAGAGCGCGCTTCGGTCGAGAGGGTCGCGGAGGAGTCTTCCGCGGCCGAAGAGAACTTGGATCATAATTTTCGGAAGGGTCTCGCGGCGGGGGTACGCCTTTGTTGGTGCGAGAAGACTTGCGAACGGGTGCAGGAGAGGTTCCATGCGGGGACTCAACGGGAGAGTCTGCAACATGGTCCGTGCTGGGAGCTTGTTTGTGGTGGCCTAAATGAGGCATGAGGGCCAAGCCGGTGGGAGACCGGACGTCATGCCGCGGGGACGGTCTAGCCGGAAGGAGTGGTGGTACCTCGGGCAACGAGGATTGTTCAAGTCGGGACTGAGCACGGGCGGAATCTGGAGCCAGGGGAAGCAAAATATGAAAATTGCTCAACCCCGGGCTGGGGCCATCAGCAGCAGCTGGTTCCGGAGCAGCAGACGAGAGGTGATCATCAAGAGGATTCTTGACAGGTAGTGAAGGAGGACGTTGATGCTGGTCCGACGGCACCTGCGGAGCATCAGAAAGAGGGTGCTGGGGCTCACGCGTGGATACACACGCAGGTGGAGTGGCAGGGAGCTGCGACCCGCTGGGACGGAAGAAATGTGGGTCTTCCTGGAGTCTGGCATCGGGTGAGGGGCTGGCCTGAACAGGTTGGCGGGGAGGAGCAAGCTCCTTCTGAAAGATGACGTCCCTGGAGACGACGGTGGCGCCGGTGCGGAGGAGTTGAACCTTGTATCCCTTGCTGACCGGGCTATAGCCAAGGAATATGCAAGCCTTCGTTTTTCCATCAAGCTTGACACGGAGCGGATCAGGGATTTTGGCATAACATCGACTTCCAAATACACGAATGTGAGCGAGATCGGGCTTCTTCTTGTGCCACATCTCGAATGGAGTGGTGTGAGAAGGAATAGCCTTCGTGGGAAGTCGATTTTGTATATACGCAGCACAGGCAGCACAGGTGACTGCTTCTCCCCAATACGATCTAGAGAGTTGAGCTTCATGGAGCATGCACCTTGTGGTGTCGAGGAGAGTTCGATTCTTGCGTTCAGCCACACCATTTTGGCGTGGTGTATACGCTGTGGTGAGTTGACGTTGAATTCCATGTGCTTCCAGGTAGTGAGTGAATTCTGAAGATAAGTACTCTCCTCCTTGATCGGAGCGGAGAGTTCTGATTGTATAGCCGGTTTGATTCTCAGTCCATGTGTGAAAATTTTTGAATTCATGTAGAAATTCTCTCTTTTTTCGTAATAGTCTTAGTACGGTATATTTGGAAAAGTCGTCGATGAATGTAACATAGTATTCGAAGCAGGAGAATGTTGGAGTAGCAATGCGGCCGCTTAAATCAGAGTGAATTAATTCGAGAGGTTGAGTGGCTCTTGTAGTCGCTTGTTTTGGAAACTTTTTGGCTATATGTTTGCCATGGAGGCATGTCGGGCACACCTGGTTGGAGATCGTTTTGAGGTGGATTCCCATGACAGCTGAGTTGGTGATTAAGTGCTTGAGGCGGACATGCCTTCGATGCCACAAGAATTGTTGCGAGCTTGGAATTGAGGCGACAACTTGAGTGGCTTCGGGCAACGGGGCTGTAGTGGGTAGTAGTGTCGTAATATGGGCGGAAAAGACAGCAGCAGTAAGAGGTAGCCTGTTCGGCCATGGAGGGATCTCCGAAAGGCCATGGTGTCCTTGCGAGTTTGCTGTGCTGAGGTGGAGAGGAATCTGCTGTGCTTCATGGTGACGAGTAGGATTCCGAGGCTCTTGTAGTGGTAGTTGAGAGGCATGGGAGTTGAGGGCGGAAGATAACTCCATGTCGACTGTCCACCAAGCAGAGTCGCTCGTAGTGGGGGAAGACGGCGCTGGAGAGAGCTGTGGTGACCAACAGACGTGATCAGGGCCGGAAAGGGTCGTCAGTGAAGGGTGCGAGATAAAAACTCTGTGATCAGCACTTGGGGGCACGGAAACAGATGGTGATTCTCCCGACTAAGCAATGGTATGTGCCACCACATTTTGGGCTGGGAATTTTGTTGATCCTAGTAGATAAAGATTATCTCGAAGAGGACATGAGGCGAGTATTGTGTTGTCTCTTGCTAATAGATTACACATCTGATTTTTTATTAAGATGCCACCACCTTCGAGATCATATTCACATACGGAGAATAGATTTTTGTGTAAGCCTGGTACATATAAGGTATTGGAGAGAAGAAGTGTCTCGCCATTTGCCATTGAGATTTCTACTTCTCCTTGGCCATAGATGGGTAATGTTGTGCCATCGCCAAGGTATACTTTGTTGTCATCATGTAGAAATGGTTTGAAATTAATGAATTGTCGTTTATTATGTGCCAAGTGGTGGGTGGCATCCGTATCAATGAGCCATTGTGTGTCTTTGGTGGTTCCAGGCTTACGTGATTTCGCAGAGCAAAAAGCTTGTGTAATGTAAACATGGGCATAGAAAGCGGGAGGTAATTCCTCTACTTGTTCTTGCTTCCATGTTTGGTTATTTTTCTTGTTATCATGATTTATTGTTGTTGAATTTGCAGCAATTCGTGTTTTGTGTTTGAAACACTCGAAACTCCAATGCCCCATTTTCTTGCAATGTGGGCAAAGAGTTGTAGGTTTGTTGCGTTGTTTTGAAAGCTTATGGTCTTTTGGATTGGATTTGTGAGGTTGCCATTTTGTCTTT